AATTCACTAAGCTTTAGCAGTGGCGATGGCAAGGACCAGGCTTTGCTTAGTCTTGTGTATTGTGCTGTTTTTCAGTTTAATGAGCTGCCACTGTGTTAAAGTTTCATATCTGCTTGGCAGAGGCAGCAGCCAAGACTGTGAGAGAGAATTTTCTGGAAGCAAACCTCAAAGCTGTTATTTATAGTACAACTGACTCCTAATATGTGGTTGTTTGACATTTCTTCCTCCCCAGTATTCCCCCCGCCGAACCAAAACACTACTCTCCAGGGGCCATCTCTTCTTTACAGGTTTTACCAACATACAATATGTATTCCACAATTCACTGAGCAAGCCTAGTCTAATAGCAATAAAGTGCACTGTATGTTTTCATAGACCATTTTGACCACCGGCTGTAAGCAAAGCCGACATGCACTGTATGCACAGGATGCTTATAAACCGAGCACTCACTGAGACTGAAGGATAGAAAACACAAGAAGATCGTTATTAGCACTTACCAACCGTGGAATTTACAGGCTTGTTTTCCCCAAGCTGTTCAGGTTGAGAAAACACAAATGCACTCCCACACACATTTGTGGAGATTAGTTGGGGTGTGTTGCAGTATTAGCAGGTATTGAGGAATTATTCCCCAGGTAAAGGCTGCCTAAAATGTTCCATGTAATAAGGCTCTGGAGAGTCTCATAGCTTCCATAATACGACAGGAATGGGTGGTTTTCTGAATGGCAGCGGTGGCAGATTTACCACAATCTGTGGTCACGAGTCTTGACTCTGTTATTCTCCCCCTGCCCCAAGAGAGGAAACTCCTCTTCCTACTCTTGTGTTTGTGGTGTTGTCTGTAGCCATTCCAAACATGATTCTCCATGTTTTGATTGCTCTTCTTTTTCTTTTGAAGTCCTGTGTCTCCCTTTCATTGTAACGCAGAGAATAACATTAGCACAGTTATCCTCCATTTTTCCCATTTTCTACCAGCCTTGCATCATTACTTTTGCCCTCAACCTTATTTTTGCTGTCTGGTTCTTTTGACACTAGTGATCAAGGTGTGCGAATATTTCAGCCCCCCCCAAACTCCACCCCTGTCCTCCAGTCTCTCCTTGGTCTGCCAGCCTCAATAGAGCTTCATTCAGTTTTGTTTCCAACTCCTCTCCAGTGAGGATTCTTTTGGTCTTTGCCCTTTTCCAGCAGTATTTTTTCTTTCTCTGTGTGCCCTGTCTAGTTCTCTGGCGGCTGTCATTCTTAATTGGTATTGCTCTGCGTCTGCTTTCATCCTCCGCCTGCTCCCTCCCTTTCCTCCATCCCTCCTCCCTCTTTTCTGCATCCCTGGCGGAAGAAGACAGGCATCAGACTGTCCGGTTCCGTGTGTGTGTCTGTGCTTTTATGCATGGTTGGTGTGTGTGTAGTGAGTTTCTAACCTCTTTCCTGTATAATAGCATGTTTCTTGTCATGTCTCCTCCTCTGTAACTTATCCCCACATATAGAGATATTAAGCAGTTGTATTTAGCATAGTAAGAAAGGGGGATCCTGCTTGGATATGAAATCATGAGTTTCCAGTGGTCAGTTTGGTCAATAGTCAGTTATAATAGTTATAATACACAATTGAGCTCTGCAGTTACAACATGGAGACACATTAATTTTTATTTTTTTGTTTGGTTAAATGCACCTTTGGATTGATTTTTGTCTTTTTATCTGCAAATCTCCATATGTCATTTAACCATACCTTTTTAAGGGCAAGAATATGAGCTGATTGCTGGTTATTGGCTGTGGTGTTGCAAGTCCCTTTAATTTAAGAGAACCTTAAGTGACACACGCTGGCTTTATAGGTCATTAATGTCAAAATGGGAAATGTTTCCCTAATTGCAGAGTCTTACTGCCAGAGGGGGTAAACCTGATGCTGGGGAGTGTGGCAGAGAGCGATACAGCCCAGAATCACTGCTGAAGAAGTGCTGCTGTCAGCAGTACTGAGAAAGGGGGAGAGAGGCAGGTAATGCAATATGTAGGGTCAACAGAGGTCAGGATGGAAGCTAACTTTGACGATGACTACATAAGCTCAAAAGTCAACTGCCCGCTCTCTGATTTCACATTCACATGCTGTTAGGACATTACCCTAAATGATATTACAGAGTGTGACACATAGGACATCAGGATAATAACTTTGTTGTTTTAATACTTGGACCTGTTTTTGTCCAACCCTCATAGTGACAGCAATACTTGTAAACAGACACTAGTGCAATCTTTTGTGTATAAAGACTATCAGGAGGAGCTGTAGTAGAAGAGACTCTGTCACTAGCAAATGAAAGGAAAACAAAAATAGTTTCTGTCACCTAAAACTCCTTTGTCCATTTCTTTCCTCCAGTCGCTCCAATTTGTTCCATCGGCAAAGCTTTTCATTCATTTTTTTCCTATTCCTATTCTAGATGTTTATAGCAGTGCAGCATTTTCTATTATTTTCTTGTTAGGTGGCCAGAAAGAGACTTAATACTATACTTAATAATGGTCTCAAATACGGAAGAGAATTAATAAAGAGTAAGATCACTTCACACTGTTGTCAAAATAGAATTTTTTTTGTTGCACATTTATTTGAAGTGGTTTCAGTGGTCATTTTTCACAGTATCGATGCAGCATTATCAACATCACGAAAAAGGAATAGAATATCATTAATCTATTGGTATTGTGTCAAATGTAGAAATCCCAGTATTGAAATTTCTAACTTTCCCACTCCTATCCACAGTGCACATATTCCATACCGTTATTTGTATGCACACTGGATCACACAATCACATCCACACATAATGGAACCCCTATTTATTCCCCGAGGGCAGCGTTCAGTGGGGCTGTTTGATATAACGATATATATCGGATGACAATATAAAAACATCTATCGTTTCATTTTATGCTATCGTTTGTTTCGTGGTGTGGCAAAATAAACTGTTTACGGTAATATTTTTTCATCGTTTTGATGGTCACTGTAGTGGCTATATTAATTTCTTAAAGTACTCTCTTTCTCTTATATGTAAATAACCACACTACTGACGGACAAGCGCCTGTTTTTATGCGTTGTCATTAGCAACAACGACGGTAACACCATCGCGTGTCCGCTTGTTTATGTTCCACATAAACCTTTCACAATAAAGCTCAAGATCCTGTTGAGACTTTTCAAAATAAACTGAATCACGTGAAAGAGCAGATTATTAACGGATTAGAAGTAAAAAAGAGCCGCCAGGTGCTAAAAAATAAACCTTAGACTCAAACGTTAGAACAGGCTTTTACCCGCAGCACGCCGTGTAATAAATACAAAGAAAACGGCGGCCGTTACAACTTATGTCTAAAAATGTATAGTTTCACGCATTAGTTAAAACAGTCGACTCCAGGTAAAGGACGCGCAGCTGGAAACACTTCACGCAAGTCAAGCTGCCTGAGATTCACAGAATTTACAGAAAATGTTAAATTTTTGTGATTTATATCGTTATCAGGACAATAGAATTCTTATATCGGGATATGAGATTTTGGTCATATCGCACAGCCCTAGCGTTCAGTGAGGTGTTGAGATAGCACAATGAAAAATGGGATTGTGTTGAGTGTATGCGTGAATGTAAGGGAGAAAGGAAGAACAATGAAGCAGGAAAAGGAACAAGGAAGCTAAAATAATTTCCCCCAGGGATCAATAAAGTAATCTGATTCTGATTCTGAAAAAAAAAAAAACAGTTGGAGGAGCAGTAATGCAAGATCTGTATGTTTGCCCAAACCCCTTTATATGATTCCTCTTCCGTTGCTGCCATAGAGACATTACTGCACCATCAGACTGTCTCATTGAAGCCTCTCCTGTCTTTGTGATTGACAGCTCCCTCCCACTGCCAGTGGGCAACACAGTGGGAGACAGGCCTTCCATTAGTCTTCTGTTAGGAGAGTTATGATTCATTCATATATTCAGACTTTGATTCATATCCATGCTTGTGTAGGCACTTTTTATATTTAGTGTTTTGTTCAGTTGTGGTCGATAACACACATTTATCAACATTGGGATTTTAACTAATGATTTTTCATCATATTGATTATTATTGTGCTAATTGTTTCACTAAACCAGATATAATGTCAGTCTTATGTATGTATGTGAAAAAATGCTTTATTCCCTTCACTGAATATGACACATGCATTGATGTCCATTGCACTTGGTGAAGCCTAAAAGCATGCACACAGTCACTGCCTGTGTTCTAGCTCATGCCTTTAATAGTTTCCAGGAGCTGTCACTAAAGCTGAGCCAAAGCAAATGGAGACTGAAATGAAGTACTTAGTTTCCCCTGAGCCCTTAGGCTAGCTATCTAGCTAGTTTGGAACCACACTCCCACTAAAAGGAGATCTTCGTTAGAAGAACTCGTGCTTTATTTTGTCTGTTGGCCTTCATGTTTTATTCCTTTTGCTCTTTTAAATCCTTTCCTCTTTTTTCCCCTTGACTCGTTTGTTGTTTTTAAGCCAACCTTTTTATGCTAACCTTTGTTCTTCTTGTTCACACTCACTTCATCTCCCCCTCTGTCCCTTTCCTTTTTGTACTCGAGTAGTCCTCCTCTTTCACCTTCTACATTTTAGTTTCTGATCATGAGGGAAAGTGTTTATCACAAGTTCCTGGATTGATTTTTTTGTATGCAGTGATGCTTGTAGATGGAAATGTTTTTGGGTTTTTTTACGTTCTCTGAGTGCACTTTGGCCCTGACTTACAAATGGCTCATAACGAAGGTACTACAAGTTAATGTGTGCTTTTGAACATGCTTGAAATCCCCTGAAATTAAAAAAAAAGTAACAGTAATATTGCATTACCATTTAAGTTCATTTAAAGTTTAAAAATGAACAAAACAAACAATTTACAGTGTGGGGCCAAGATGTTTCTGAATAACTCTTGATGTCCAAAGTCTGCAATGCAGATCATACCAGTTATAATGTGTAGAAGTATTCCTTAATTGTGCTCTTCTTTTTTTCTTTTTTACTCATCATTCTTTCCCCTTCTTGTTGAACAGCTGAGAGAAGCTAGCAACAGAAGAAAGAGAACCATTTGATGGAAGAAAAGAAAAAGAAAAAACAAGAAGAAAAGACCAAGAAGGAAATTGCTCAGAAAAAGGTGAATATAAAACCCTTATTAAGGCTTTGCAGACATGTGAGTGCTAATCAAGTGATGCTGACTTGTCCACCATTTTTGGACATGTGACAATCATTGTGATGGTCAAGTTAATAACCGGCAAGTCAGACAGGCCTTTGGACCAGTCAGTGACCCCCTGTCACTAGGGAAATGTGTATTCCCCAACCTCTTGGTAAAAACCTCCTTGTGGTTGCTAGCATATTGCTGCAGTCTTGTTTTGAGTGGAAGTGGCAGCCTTGTAGCCTGACCAGCTACTCTCTGAGCTGTGCTGAAACCGTAAAAGTGTGATGCACAATGGAAATGGACAGTTTGCCCTCACAATAAAAGTTGCACACTTTGAAACATGTTGGCTGCAACACCGAATTACAGCTTTTACTGTGAGGATGAACCCTCTCCATTTCTGGTATATAAAGTACTTCCACTTCTAGCTGGCAAATATTTGCAGATGGACATGAAAAACTCTAGGCAACCGTGGCCATCTGTGAGCAACCAAAGTACCATCTTAGTTATGACTGATTTCACCAAGCAACAGCCCAAACATCCAGCAACCTAACAAACAGTGATTGTATCATGTCCGATATGTCTCGCACAGTGTGCGCATGACGTCACGTGAGAAACCTCAGTGCTATCCATTACACAGACTTTTCTGTTATTAAAATAGATAGGATACTAGCCTTCACTTAAGTTGCCCCTGTGCATGGAGTGGTTTTATTGTAAGTGCTTAATGGTTGATTTGTTGAAATGTAGGCAGCAAATTTCCATTAAAGGACCAAATGACTACTTCTGTTCACTGATGTCTTGAAACGATAGGCTCACTTTATTCGGTAGCACTAGTCGTTTGATTTATTTGTGAACATCATACTTAAACTATTCATTTCCTAAATCAGTTTTTCTTCTCCTCTGCAGGCTGCTGATCAGAAACCCAAAGGTGAGTGTCATGAGCAGACAAACTACACCCTCTCATATACTTCATTTTCTAACACTACATTCCAGCCGCTGATGTACATTAATCAGCTCTGATTAATACATAAAGGCACACACATTATTTATGCATTATACACACGTAGCATTTAGCATTCTTGTACACAGATGGACACACACATTTTGCACATGCATGCACAATTGTGCTGTTTGACTCGGCACACACACATGCAGACGCTCATTAGAGCAAATACAGGGGCGTTTTAATGCAGAGTGACGCTCAGTATGCCAGGAGCACCAGGCAGTGAGGCGTGAGGGGACCCAGACAGCTCACTGAGTGTGCTGTAGGTAAAGCGATGGGGGGGATGGGCTATAGAAAGAAGGGAGAGGATGAGTGGGATAAAAGAAGCAAATGGTGTTCAGCTGAAATGCAAAACTAAAGGAACAGTGTCCTCATATTCCCTCTGCAATATCTTAAGATGTTAAAATAGTTTCTCAGCGTTCTTGTTCCTGTAACAAGTTTGTAATTTGGATTGTTTGAGTAAGACATGTATAACGATCTGTACAGCCAATAGATTTGCATGCTTTTGTTTTATAAATAGATTTCTAAATAGAGTTCTACTTTAATGCAGTAGCTTACATCCACATGCATACCGGTATAAAATGAAATATGGAAGCGTTGTGTCCCAGCTGTCTGCATTAAAAGGAATGAACAATTGTTAGTTAAGAACATCTAAAATGCTCCATTGCCTCCGTAATTTGCGATCTGCTTTCAAACCTGAATTTTCATACATCATGGACGAGGATAATTATCAAGCACACCCTCCCGCTTTGTTGTCACTTAGCAACACAGTGAGGTTATTCCTGTGTTGACACTTAAAAAAATGCTGTTAATGCTAAATACCTAAACTAAAGGTTTCTGTTAATGCATGGTAGTGTTGGATTGAAGATGGCAGAAGATTTCATCCTGTCTGGGGTTTTTTTCTTAGTGTGTCTCTTAGCACCTGCACTTTGCCAGTTTGAGCAGCAGTTTGGCCATCTGGGTGAAACTGTGAGGCTTTAACAAAGGTCACCACAGCTTGCCTTGGACTCTGACCTGCCTATTTAATTACCCTCCCTGTGTTTCACTGCACTGTCTGTGAGTTTGACCTATTAACCAAGTTTCAAAGCTGCCTACAAAGCTGAATGCATCCAATTTCAATAAGCATTTAATGCCACTGTTCTTCTGCTTCAGTGAGAGATTAAAATATCTGACTCCTCTAGGGCTACAATTCAATTCAACATTTGTATGACTTCTGCTTGCATAGTACTCAGATGGGGGCTTGTCACAAATATTAACAAAGAACATCAGGAGTGAAGAGGCACATTTTATAGTGGGTTTTCTTTTTTGTCCACAGGACATATTCACTGAGATCTTTTTCAGAAACAGTTTGTACTAATATACGTTACTTTCACACATGTATGCTGGCATTTACAACAGAAAATGTATGTTTTGGTCACTGATGACGCATTAAAGGCAAGCAGGACTGCTGCACGTTTATTTGTTTTCTCAAACTTTACCAATGATCCGCATAATGCATTAGACAAGGAGCATGGAAAAGATTATGTTGTTAGGCTGTAGCCGTCCACCTAACCACAGGATGTGGCCAACAATACGTGTCACATGCTGTTTTGTGTTGTGAAAGCCTGCATTGTTTCTTTGTGCATCTTCCAATTGTCTTCAGAGATCTTGTATTTAAATATGAGGCAATACCTTTTGACCAGTAATGTGTTTTGGCCCTGCAAATCTGCAGCTGTTGCTATTTTTATTTTTATTTTTTTAAAAACCAAACCCTCCAATTTAGTGCACTGAAAGTAATTAGATGCATTATATACATGAGCAGAAATGTGCTATAGCCACCGGTGCTGCTCAGTTCAGGAGCCCTTTTTACTAACTTGCTTTAAAATGTAGGCACTATATATAAAGCACATCCTGCTACACTGATGTTTCCATTGTTAGATTTGAAAGCCAGTGTGCCAAATAAATGTCTAAATAATGAAAAGCATAGCACAGTCTTCATATTTTCTTGCTGCGCTGTATGAACTGTGTATGTTGGATGTGTGATGCAGCAATTGAAATGCCAAGAAGGGAAGGGGGGGGGAAACTCTTTTTAGGAGAGAAACCCATGGATTAGGGCACAGTTACGAAGGGAAAAAAGGGAGCGAGAGAGAAGAAATAGGAAGTGTAACGAGCTGTTTTGGTTCCACATAAAAGCAAAAATGAAGAAAGGAAAAGAGGAAGGGAAGTAATGAAGCAGCGAGCAGCAGACAAGTGCCAAAAATGACCGTCAAGAGTCAATGACGACACTAATATAGCAGAGGACTAATGACATGGAGATTTATTTTATGGTGTGTTTAATGAGAGATAGAGAGGGAAAAGGACATGGGATGAGAAACTGATTGCGTTTATGTAGTGGGTAGTCATGCAAACAGACAGATAAAGAAAGTAGGTGAAAGAAGACTAATCGAGAAATCAGGACTTCTGTGAGTTTGCTTATAACCTCCCATCTGCAATAGCTTTTAAAAGGAACGTGGCATCGACTAGAATGAGATGGGTTTTCATGCATGACACTAAATAATAGAGGTGTAAGTGTGTGTGTGTCTGCTCGCGTGTGTGCACGCAAGACCGGGGAAATCGGTATGCGGTAGTGATTTGTGTCTTTCCATCCATATCAGTGCATTCTGTCTTCCTTATACACTTTCAGAAATTCATAGTCACATACACACTACCACTCCCCACCCTCTCTGCCTTTTGCTGCTTTCCTCTCTGCAGGCCTCCCTGGTCCCAGGCATTTCAATTTGTTTGCGGTAATCGATCTCGGCCTGGCGCGTTCATATGTATGAAAATGAGATAAAGCTTCGGCGCACTGGAATTAACTTCTCTGCCCCCTATTAGGCATGGAGCTTCACAGAATGCAAGGTTCCAGGAGGCAGTGTCCCATTGCCCCAACCCACCCCCACTCCCTCCTACACACACACACACACACACGCACATACAGGCTGGACCTCTGCCTATACAGAGCCTTTCCATCCTCCCCCCTCTTGGTCCCCCAGTACCTCGGAGACGCTGATTATTCACCCCCAGCACAAACGCACCTTCATCACAATCTTTGCTCCTGCTGCAATCACAATCAGTCGATTTGATTGCTACACATATCTACTAACCTTGACAAAAGCATGTGCACATACACAGAGACACAGGGTACGTAGTGAGTTTGATACCCACAGCCATCAAAACGTGCTCATTGCAGCGACTTGGAGCCTTTCAATATGTTTTCAGTGAAGGAAGCTTACATTGTTTAACTGCAAAACTGCCAAGATAATAATGTCCTTGCCAAGATTGCTCTTAGCATGCACAAACACATGTGCGGACATACAAATATGATTGAATTTGTAAGAAAACATGGCCCAAACAGGAAGTTAGACAAACGGAACTCAAAAATACAAAACAAAAAAAAATTAGAAAACTACATTTAGAAACAAAAAGCCACAAGTAACACCACGCTGTGTCTCTTACATTCCTACTCTCCGATAATCAGAAAATCTGCAGTCTCTGTTTCTCCTGCTTGTGTGCTTTTCCCTGATGAAAGGTTGGAAATTTAATGTGCTGTCTGTCAGTACCTCGTTCCTCACTCTCCTCTTTGACCATGCTGTTACTTCCGCCTGTTTCATTACCCTCTACGTGTCCCAGCGACCGCATCCGAGGAGAAACATATTTACACGGTGTCACCATGGTGGTAACAGCATTATGTTTTCAAAGTGGCAACACACACACATAAACACAAGTGTGTCCTTTTAATACCGCATTGGATTCATTCGCAATTTCACATGCTATTAATTGCGTCAACACAGCTCAAATGGAATTTCATGAATTGCAATCTAATTAGAGGCTAATTTACTTTAACATTTGGGCTGCTTTTTTTCCGCTGTTAAACACATTTCTAAACACTGAATGAATTAATAGTGAATAGCTTGTGAATTACGTCCTGTGGATTTATGACTGCCAAGCATAATTGTTTTTCCTTTACCCCCTGTGTGCTCACCCCACATGAATGTCAAGTGTTAGGGGAAAGTGAGGGATGTAGGAATGGACCAAGGGAAGCGATAAAGGAAAACAAGGGGGACGCTCAGACTTAAACAATGCTCTCCTCCCTCCGTATTCATGTTGTATGATCACTCACAAGCTGCTGACAAGAGAGCCTCACATACCTCCCCCATCACCTTGTTCTCCCCCACCGGAGAGCTGCTTTATGTCAAATACCAGGCAGATTAATAGGATGTAGCGAGAAGGATATGAATGGCACTTAAGCCTGTTTTTGAAGCGTGAGGTCTATGCCAATTTGTTTGTTTAATGTTGTAAAACTGTCTGGTCTCCCCCTCATATGGCAGCTTGCTCCCCCAAAAAGGTGATCTTGTCCATATGGCAATTTATACTTGTAGCTGACTTACAGTTCAAGTTCAATGATGTCCATAATCACCGTGACCCAAAGGTTTGGGAAGCCCAGTTTTAAGTCGGACTTAAAACTGACCTTCAGCAGCCAATACTTCATCCAAAGACTTTATGGGTGCCTCCCATGTATGCAGAATTAATAATTAAGGGTTCTGTACTTGATTGTTTAGATAGTTGGGCATAGACGTCTATGGGGATTGACTTGTTTTTCACCCATGTAAGTGGTCTTTTGTATAAAATGTAAGGCAATAATGTCTGGGACCTGTAGTCATAAAATACCTATGTATGAAAACATTCTTTTGTAGACCCCCAATGAGTTCTGCTCAGATTGCTAAACTGATACTCAAATTGAGCTCCCTTGACTCTAATAACACTAACATTATAACTGGGGCAGACTTTGTTCCTCATTTATGTATCAGCCTTTAAAAGTTTACAAACCTTGAATCACACTATGGAGCTATCAGAGCCAGAGGGATTCACAGCCGATCGTTGCACTCAGGCACTGACCTCGGAGAGAG